TGTTCATTTTTGTTTGAAGTTTGTATTAGTTTGAATTCGAACCCAGGAATATAGACTACGATTTAATGTCAATATACTTTCAATATTCCTACATTTTTTGTACAGGTTTAACTTAGAAAATCGTTAAATCAGCCCATGTATTTGTGTATCAATCGTAGTCTAAAATCTGACCGTAGTAGTTCAGCATAATATAGTTTGAATCATTCATCTTTGTTATGATGTTGTTTGATTTAGTTTGAGGTCAACTGATGATTGAGTTTAGTGATTTGAATCTACTTGTTTGTCCTATTAAGTTTGTTGATATGAATCTGACCATGATAAACGGAATTGGGAGTTAGTTTCATGTGTTTAATTTGTCAATTGTCAGGCTTGATTTGGTTATAGCTACTGTAGTTTGGTTAATTGATTTAGGAGGATTGGATATAGCTGATGGGGTAGAATAGTAATTTCAGTAGTTTCAGGGGCATTTTCGGGATTTTAAATTTAAAAAAAAATGATTGATTCGAGTGCTCTGTTCACTAAGTACTAATAATATTAAAAATACATTATTTAATACATAGTGGGGAACAAGACATGTGGTAGTGGAAATTAATACATTGTTTAATATAGTGGAGGACAAAGCATGCGGTACTGGGGAATAAGAGAATTAAATAAATAAAAGACATGTGGTAGTGGGAATTAATGTATTTGTTTAATATAGTGGGAGACAAAGCATGTAGTAGTGGGGAACATGGCATGTAAGTGTGGGGAGAATATTTCGGATTAGTTTAAGTCTTTCAAGACAAGAGTTTTGTTATAAATAGAGTGATTAATAAGCAGTAAAGAGGGGATTTTTGGAGAGGATTTTGGGGATATTTTGGAGAGAGTCTAGGCCGAATTTTTAACATTTAAAAAGTTTAGTAATCTGAGAGTAAAAGAGAGACTGGTTATTTCTGAGATTTCACTGAGGTTTTAAGTGGATTTTTGAGTTTGTTATTCCTGGTCTGCATTGGTTTGTGTTGATACTATTTCGTTGAGTGTGCTGGAATCGTGTTGGTTTTCAAATCTGTCGCTGGGTATTCCGTTCGCTGTTTGTTGCTGGTTATTGTTGTTGTTGTTGTGTTACATAATACTTTGCTGACCTTCCTCTTCTTGTATTGGCAATACCAAGTACACAACTGTAACTTTGGCATCTGTAAGCTGAAAACACGAAGTTTGAATATACGTGAAGAGTTGAAATTCTGCTTTGGTTTCAATATGACTTGTGTATTTAAATTCTTCAGTCGCTGATGATAGGTAGATCCCTGTTAGTATGTAGTAAGTGGACTGAAACAGAGTTGTATGAGAGATTTTTTTATTAAAACATGTTAGCATCTGGTAACTAGTTCCTGTAGTTAAAAATGAGCTTGTTGGACTGCTAAATTAATCTGGACCGGGACTGTTTGGATCTTGGAATATGATTATGTAATAGTCATATTAGTTNAAACGAGCCTCGACAAACAAGAAAACACAAATTGCGGGGCCCTCAACGGATAGTTATTTTGAATGCTTAGATTTCGAGACAGGCCGCATAGCGAACTTTACGACTTTTCTCAAAATAACAACGCGTTAGTCTTTAGGCGCGTATTTAATAATGTTATTTTCCTAAACTCGGGTGCAAATTTATGTGACCCAAATCCAAATCTCAATGAAGTTAGAACGTATCAAAAATTGCGGGTATATTTATGTGGCGCAATTCGAGATGCATTCTCACGACGTTGCAATTC